CCTTGGGTGGTGGGCTTCACCACTTCTGCTGCCTTTGTTTTTTGATTGGTGGCAGCCTCTCCTCACTGTTGCAGGAGGCACAGGCCATGTGGGTTTCTTTTGTATCCCTAATCTCTTTGCAGTTTTTGCTGGGTCGGAAAGAAGAAGAGGCAGTGCTGGTTGGGGGTGAGTGGTCTCCTTCCCTGGATGGCCTCGACCCTCAGGCTGACCCGCAGGTGCTGGTGCGCACAGCCATCCGCTGTGCGCAAGCCCAGACTGGGATTGACTTGAGCACCTGCACCAAGTGGTGAGTGGCCGTCCCCAAGTGTGGCCAGCTCGCTGTGGGGAGAGTCTGTTTAGAAGATCTGGCCTTTGCCCTCTGGCCTGCCAGCTTTCTTCTGTGCCCAGTCATAACTCATGCCACCCCCAGCTACTCACAGATGGACACTGGGGTCCTGAGCATGACCAAGGGTTATGGGGTACTAGAGGTCAGCTGACCCCCAAGCTGTACCTGGCAATCCTTGTTGCCTTACCTCCGGCACAGCAGCTGTCTGTCATCTCCCTGTTGCTTGCTGTTCTTGAGGACTTGGTCTGTATCATGTGTTTGTCCTTTCACAGCTCGCCGTCCAGTATGTGCTTGGTCTGTGCTGGCTGGAAACAGGCATTTTGTGAGCCTGGCGTCTGCCTGAATGTATTGATTGGGGCTTAGGGCTTCCTTTTCCTTTTGCTGTGAGCAGGTGGCGCTTTGCTGAGTTTCAGTACCTGCAGCCGGGACCGCCCCGGAGGCTGCATACAGTGGTGGTGTACCTGCCAGACGTCTGGACCATAATGCCCACTTTGGAGGAGTGGGAGGCCCTGTGCCAGCAGAAAGCCACAGAGGCAGCTCCCCCAACCCAGGAGGTACCAGAGATAAGGCTGATCCTTAGGAAGACGCAGAAAGTAGGTACCCTGACACTGAGACCCTGAGGGTCACATCTTGGCTATGGTTACAGGAAGCAGAGCCTACTGAACAGGCCCGTGATGCCTCAGAGCAAGCAGCAGATACTTCTAAACAGAATGCGGAGACTCCAGAGGCCACTGCACAAGAAATGGACACTGATCTCCCAGAGGCCCCTCCACCCCCTCTAGAACCTGCTGTCATGGCACGTCCTGGCTGTGTAAACCTCTCCCTCCATGGGATTGTGGAGGATCGGAGGCCAAAAGAAAGGATTTCTTTTGAGGCAGGTGTAGGAGTTTCAGGGGGCTGTGGGTAGGGTGCGGGCTATGGCAGTGTGGCATATTCCTTTTTCACCTGATGCTCACAGGGTTCTGCCACCCCTTCTAAATAGGTGATGGTGTTGGCTGAGCTGTTTCTGGAGATGCTGCAGAGGGATTTTGGCTATAAGATTTATAAAATGCTACTGAGCCTTCCTGAAAAGGTTGTGACCCCCCCTGAAACTGAGAAGGAGGAGGTGGCCAAAGAGGAAGCGGCCAAGGAGGAGGAAGCTGTCAAGGAGGAGGTGGCCAAGGAGTCCAAGGATGAGGTACAGAATGAGGGCACGGCTGCCGAGTCAGACACCCCGCTGGTGAGTACCTTTGTCAGCCCTGGCTGGGCTGAGGACCACACATAGTGATAATGATTATTGTGATCTGAGTCCCTCACTTGTGCCAGGCATCGTCTAAGTACTTCCCATGTCCCATTTCATCATGCTCCCTCACAGTGCATACTTCTTGGAAGCCTGGGATAGACTGAGGCCCAGAGAGATTACTCTTATACCACATAGTTAAGCAGTGGCACACACGGGGTGAGGGAGGTGGCAGAGAAGAGGGGAGGGAAGCATGGCTGACGTGTCATGGTGGCATGAAGTCTCAGTCACAAAGAAGGCCTGGGAGAGCAGAGGAGGTTGGATTGCCTTATGGTTAGCTGGATGGACTTTTCACCATTTTTATAATGCAAGTCTACTTCTTGCCCAGATGCTCTCAAGTATATATAATTTTTTCTAGGACTAGGTTGTCTCCTGAAAAGAACCTGGGTGTCTAGAAGTGCCTCTGATGTGCTCTGGATCCTGTGTTATTCAATTAAACACCTACAGGCTCTAACACAGTGCCTGGCACAGAGTTGATACTCGGATGTTAGCCATTATTATTAGTATTACAGGAATTAGTTCCTTCTCCTCATCACCTTGTCTGCTTCTCTAGAAGGAGGATGGGCTTTTGCCCAAACCACCCTCTTCTGGGGGAGAGGAGGAAGAGAAGACCCGGGGTGAGGCATCTGAGGACCTGTGTGAGATGGCCCTGGACCCAGAGCTGCTACTTCTGAGGGATGATGGGGAGGAGGAGTTTGGTATGTCCAGTGGGGAGCAGATTACGGTCCTCAGGTGGTGTCCGTCTCTTAGGGCTGTGGGGCAAGTGTGGGCCACCGTGGGCTCCCTGTTTAACTTGGGTTTTTTTGTAGCAGGAGCAAAGCTAGAGGACTCGGAAGTCCGGTCTGTTGCCTCAAACCAGTCAGAGATGGAATTCTCCTCACTTCAGGACATGGTGAGACCTTTTTTTTTTTTCTTAGTTTTTGTGGTGGGAAGCTTGGCAATACCTCTGATAGGCATACCTCACCTGGGAGGCTACCAGTGACTTTTCCCTTGATAGACAAAAAACAAAATGTGGTTCTTGATTCATGGGGATTATTTCATTTTCCCTGTTGGGGGGAGATGAGAGGGATCTGACCTGGGAGCACACCAGGTTCTTTTTGGGAAAGTGCCCCACAGAGGCTTGGAACCTTCAGCTGTAAGGCTGCTTGGTACTGTCATTCAGGCTGCTTGCTGTAAAGAGGTTGTGTCCTGGGCCATTTAGTCACTGAGATCTGTCAGTAAAGCTGTTCATCTGTTTTCCTTTACAGCCCAAGGAGCTGGACCCATCTGCTGTGCTTCCCTTGGACTGTCTTCTAGCTTTTGTATTTTTTGATGCCAACTGGTGTGGCTACTTGCACCGGCGAGACTTGGAGAGGGTCCTTCTTACCCTGGGAATTCGGCTCAGTGCAGAGCAGGTAACTTCTCTCCTGCCCCATCTTTCTGTCTTTTCTGGATGGCCTCCTAATATGCACAGGCCTACAATGAGCTCCTTCTAGGTCCTTGTTCCTCTCTTTGGGGCAGGGTTCACACTGTCTGACCAGCAGGTGTTTGGTGTTTTCTGTAGGCCAAGCAACTGGTCAGTAGGGTGGTGACGCAAAACATTTGCCAGTACCGGAGCCTTCAGTACAGCCGCCCAGAGGTGGTGGACGGTGGGCTTCCTGAGGAGGTGCTCTTTGGTATGTCCTGTGCTATGCACCTGTGGGAAAAGGGATAGGGTAGGTTGCCTTTTCCTCCTGAGACTTTATGAGATTTTTTCATGGCCCCTTCTAGGAAACCTGGATCTGCTGCCTCCTTCCGGGAAGAGTGCAAAGCCAGGTGCTGCTCCCACGGAACACAAAGGCCTGGTGCCCCATAATGGCAGCCTGATCAATGTGGGGAGCCTGCTGCAACGTGCAGAACAGCAGGACAGTGGCCGGCTCTACCTAGAAAACAAGATTCATACACTGGAACTGAAGCTGGGTGAGTGGTCTAGAGGGTGTGGGGCTTGTCCCGGGTGGGATGGGAGAGTGGGTATCCCCAGGGACTAGGGTGACACCACTCTGTAGGCTTTAGACCCTTGCCCTGTGCTTCACCTGAGTCCATCCGGTGTGTCTTCCCACATTGCACAGAGGAGAGCCATCACCGTTTCTCAGCCACTGAAGTGACGAATAAGACACTGGCAGCGGAGATGCAGGAGCTGCGGGCCCGGCTGACTGAGGCGGAGGAGACAGCTCGGGCAGCTGAACGGCAGAAGAGCCAGCTTCAGCGGCTGCTGCAGGAGTTCCGCAGGCGCCTGACCCCGCTGCAGCTTGAGATGCAGCGGATGGTTGAAAAGGTGAGTGGGGTGTGTGGGGTGACTGCAGCTCCTCTTGGTGGAGCTCCAAAAGCCCCAGAGAACAGTTGGCTGCCATGTCCAGTGCTTTCTGTCCCTTCTCAGATTCTCTCACCTCCATCCTCCATCCACTAGTTTCTTTGGGAACCTAACAGCATGTAGCCCAGAGGCTCCCAGCAGTAAGTGGTTAGCTGTCCTCTGATGTCATCTGTTCTCTGTGCTCATATAGGCCGATAGCTGGGTAGAGAAGGAAGAGCCGGCACCTAGCAACTGAGGGACTTTGCCCAGGAGTGGCTGTCCTGTGAGGTCAGCGATGGAGCCTGATGACGTTAAAGCCCTTTTGGTACCAGAAAGCCACTGGAGCAAGGCCTGGGAGCCACAGGCAGGGGTGGCTGAGCCCTGTGCTCAGCCTCTGCAGGGGATGTCAAGCCATCAGGGTGGGGTCTGTGCTTTGTGGGTGGAAGTTTGAGGAACCCCAATTCCAGCTACAACTAAATATAACATCTTTTGCACCCCTAGAATGTCATTTTGCCCTCAACCTTGGAATTTTTCCCAGGGCCCTTGTAGTATTGTGCTGTCTCCTGTCCTCTTCCAGATTTAGAGTGAGACAGGGGAGGAAAAGGCTTTTCGAGCCTGTGACAAGGTCTGATGCTAGTACACTGAAGGAACAGACGTGGAGTCTGGTGGGGGCTAAGAAACCCCTTCCTTTGGATGGCACAAGTCCTATAGGTTCCAGGCGCAGACTCCTGGGGGGCTCTGGTGGCCGTCGTGGGAATGGAGTCTAAGCTAGAAAGCTCTCGGTGTTGGGCCAAGGGTGCCAATAGAACACTGTGTTCCAGCCACCCCAGACTCGCCAGAAGAAACCAGCACCTCCTTCCCCGGCTCCTGTGTTCAGAATGTGGTATTGGCTCTGGCCCAGCCTTTTTCCCTGTTACCCATAATTCTCGCCTCTTTCCATAATCCGTGGTTTCAGTTTGACTTTGTATATAAAGTTGTTTGTTTTTTTTTTTTTTTTTTTTTGGCTTTTTGTTTTTTAAATAAACCAAAGTCAAAAACAAACCAGTGTGTTCTCCTAGCTCTCCCCGTTCCTTTTCTGGGCTGCCTGGTGCCCTCCCAGCCTCCTGGCCCTAAGCCAGTGTCTGCACCCTGGCAGTTCTTTCCAGGAGGTGGAAAGCCTGAACCTTTGCACCCTAGGCTGCCTGCCTGCTGGAATCAGGCAGAGGCCCTCTGCCAAGTGGGCAGGAACTGGGATAGCTGAACCAGGGGCTCCCCTTCTCTCCACAAGTCAGCACAACACTAGGTGGATGTTTTGTTGGAAACTTTACTTGAAAAAATAAAATTCCAGATATCCAGGTTAGACACAAACCCACTGCTCTTGCTTTGAGGCCTGTGGATTGATGTGTCACATGCTGCATGGGGGGATAGTTAACATCGAGTCCCAGTCCTAGGGAATGCGGAAGAGCGAGGGCTTGTCCCTGCACTGAGCCCGCCTTTGTCATGCTGGAGTGAGGGGTCTGCTGGGGCTGGAGGAACAGGGCTCTCCTGTTCCTCAGGACTGTGCCTGTACCTTGCCCAGAAGAATCTTTGGTGTGAAGAGCAACGAGGGGCCAGGAATGTGTCCTCGAGGTAGATGCGATCCCTGCTGTGCAAGTAGGGCTAAGACCCTCAACTGCAATGGCAAAACCCAGGCCCTTCCAGGGGGCTGCTGCTCTGGCCTGAGGTCAGGTTATACTCTGGACGGTTCTTCAGGAAATAAAAAAGCCCCTAGGGTTTTTCTACACTGCTTACCTGTGTCTGAGGAGAGATCAGCCTATTTGGGGCTCCTGGTGACAGGCTCAAGAGAATGGAGACACTCAGTTCAAAGGATTACAAGGTGGAGCAGGGGCCACCTCTTGTCTCCAAAACAGCAGCCAGTGGGAGAAGCATGAGCCTGTGCCTGCTAAGGGCAAAGACTAGAGAGGTTGCCTGTGTCCCAGAAGTCTTTGAAGGATGGAAGCTCAGTCATCAGCCACGATAGAGAGGGCTCGGAGCTCGCTCAGTTTGGCCTCGTTCTCTCGCTCCCGCTGCTCATCTGAGTGGCCTGGCTGGTCAAGCTGCTGGGTAAGGTCACCAAAGATCTTATGCATTTCTGAGTAGTACACGACCTGGGCAAGAGGCAAGAGTTGTTGGCAAGGGCTGAGCTCCCTTAGCATCCAGTGCCCAAGCACAATACCTGCGGGGCCCAGCAGTCCAGGAGCACTAGCCTAGCCAGGGTCTGGTCCCTTGGGCGGCTGGTGGCTGGCTCGAGGCAGGTGTTCCTACTCACTTCTCCATCACCTCTCTGGCCCTCACCCATTTCCCTGAATTGGTGGTGCAGGAAGGACTGAACCACAGCCTGTGGCTTTCTGGAATGTCCACTGCAGAGAAAGGCTCCATCCAAGACCAGGGTTGCAGAGAGGCAATGAGGCCCTGTGGGGCTGGGGGTGGAGGTGATGCCCTTCAATCCCTGTTTCCTTCCAACAGCTGGTGTGGGCAGGGGTGCCTGTGCACTTGGGAGTGGTTGGAGAACAACACATGGCCAAGGCCAGGCCCCGAGAGAGAGAAGATGATTAGCGGGCACCATACCTCAGTGGGAAAGAGAGGACATGGCAGGTGGTAGATCCCAGGGCCTTGAAAGCCTGCTCTAGAAGTAAAGGTAAGATCAAGGCTCTGGGATCTACCACCTGCCTTCCACTCCTGCCCCACCCTTGTTCCTGGCCTAAACCGCATAGCCAAGGGGAGTGGTTCTAAGGCTGGGCTTATGTCCACAGGTCCTTCTGGGTAGGGAACAGCAACAAGGTGGGAGGGACACAAGGATGAGAGGCTAGGGTGGGGGAGTGGGATAGGCTCTTCAGCAACTCCCCCAGATTGCTGAGGACTAGGGGCTTCTCCACAGAGGGCAGAGGCCATTTCTGCCATGAAACTAACCACTTCCTGATCAAATAAAAAGCGTGTGCTCCCGTGTTCTACTCTTTCCAAACCCCCCAGCTTGGCTGTCACCTTCTCTTTAGAAACTTGGAGATGCTAAACTGGGAAGGTGCACTGTGCAGCAGGGCCAGGGCTGAGTTGTATGTGCCTTAGGAAGTCTCTTGACATCCTAGCTGGCTTCCTCTGGGACCAGGGGAGCTAAGTGAGGTCAGTCCCAACCTATTGCTATCACCTGAGAAACTGGGGACATAGGCAATCACTGGGGTGAGGGCAGGGGGTGGCCCTAAATTTCTTGCCCAGGCTGCACTGCCCGGTGAGTCACCAGGAATGCTCACTTCTCTAGTGACTAATGGCAGCAGCAGCCATGTGAGGGGGAGGTTGGCACTGAGGAGGCAGTAAACAGCCGTGGTTACCCCACTGCTTTGGCTATAGGTCACATCTAACCTCCCAAACGGCTCCAGCCTGGGTACCCTCCAGCTTTCTCCTGGGAGCTAAGGGAGGGCAGGTAGGGGGTAGGTCACTGGAGGCTGCAGTGGGGTTGTGTCAGCAAAGGAAAGGGATGGCAAGGGTACAGCTGCAGGAAGGAAGCCCTTGCCGCCTCCTGCTGGTGGCTCCGTCTCACCACCCTCAAGAAACAAGAAAGGACCAAGGACTTAGGTCATTAGGAAATCCCAGCTGCAGGGTAGATCCTGCTCAGCCTTCCTAATGTCAAGTACCTGGTCCCATGGCTTTGCATGTCTCCAAAGATGCAGGCTGAGAAGTGGGAACTAGACTTTTCCAGGGGAAATCTATAAGGAAAGATGACATCCACTGGAGGGCGCCAGATGCCCAGCAAAAGCAGAAGTGGGCAGGCCCTGGTAGACAGGGACTGAAAGCCTAAAATTTGGTGACCTGGTGATAAAAGATGGGAAGGGTGTGTTGGGATCCTGAGGCTAACAATGAGCATCTATGATTAGCTGGGGTCCATGTGGAAGAGCCCTGCTCTTGGCTCTGGCACCTCAATCTTTCCCATTTTGCCAGTGCAGAGAATCCTAGCTAAAGGCTTGAAGATAGATGGGGTGGGAGAGGCCAGGGGACACACGCCATCCTGCTCTGAGTAGCAGGACACACAGGGCTCTGGCCAGTATACTAAAATGGTATACGGAGGAAGCCAGACAGAAATCCTAGCACGGTCCAAGTCCTGCAGTGCCAAAGCCCTATGTCCTAGCACTGAATGATCTCCTGCGGTGGCTGGGGTGCTGGGCCCAGCTGTCTGTGCAGAGAATGACCAAGTCTCCCTTCCAGTGTGGGGTATGGGGTGGCCTGAGGGTATTCACAAAACCCAGGACTATCTCCCAAGCAAGAGTATTTGGTCACCTTTGGGTGTGTGAGTGGCATGGCCTCACCTGCGCTCGGATCAGGGACTCAAAGCTGGGCTGGAAGTAGTCRAGTCGGCTGCCATAGAACCGTGGCATCTCATCCAAGAGCTGCTTGTTCTTGGCCTCAAAGTCATCCCGCACAGGCCGAAGCTCTTCTCGGGCCTGAGGAAGGAGACCTTGTCATCAAGACACTCACTGTTGGTGCAGGATGCAGGTGTCTGGGTGCCGGTAGGAATAGCTGGTGCCTTGGTCCCCAGGACAGGGAGGAACTTGCCACAATGACCTTTCTGGCCACCTTGTCCCTTCTTTGTCAACCCCCTCACCCGCTCCCGTCTCCCTGACACCTGGTGCAGCTTGGCCAGCACGGGTCCTGTCTTCTCCTTCTCCTCGTACTTCTCCACCTTGGCCTGGAGTCTCCTGTAGTCCTGCAAGGCCTGCTCCCGCCGCTTCACTGCCATGTTGAGGCTCGGGAAGACACTGCCAAACCTGCCGGGCACAGTTGGGTTGGACACAGGCCCATTCTGGGAGGGCAGCCTGGCAGCTCATCAGTCATTCACAGGTACGTATGGAGTACCTACTAAGTGCAGACCCTGCTCCGGGTCTTGGGATTTTACCAGAAGACAGACCGACCAGCRCCTGGTGGCCTGGAGCTTATGTTACTAACAGAACAATGTCCAGGAGGAAGGTCAAGAGCATGTGAACTTTTCCATTAGGCTTGAGCACCGGGGGCGGAGAATGGATGACACCACTTGTCCAGCTGCTGCCTCCCTCCCTGCCCACAGCAGTCTCACCATACTCCAGGACCTGCACAAGAGGATGGCAGGGCTGGGACACTCCTCAGAATTTACTTGTCAGACAGCTTCATCTTAAAAACTGGGAGAACCTAAGGCTAGGGAGATGACACATGACTTGCTCAAGGTCACAATCAGACAGATAGTCCATAAGAGTACTCAAGTGCCAAATTTTCTGTCTGGCACCTACTCATCACCTCATAGTGCCACTGGTAGGTCACAGAACTGAAACTGGAAACTACTCTTTCAAGGGCTCCTCAGGACTACAGGAAAAGCAGAAATTCTGTTGTCCTACCACCGAAAAGGCAGACCAACAAACCAGAACTTTATGACTCAGGGACCTCCTCCTACCCCATGACTAAAATGGACCAAAATGGGAACCACTCATAAGAGTGGGCCATTCAGAAACAGCAGCAGTATTTTCAATGCTCTGGCATCTGGTAAYCCGAAAACCAATTCCTTTAATTTAATGTCCATCATGGAAGGGCTTGCTACCTAACTGAAAATGCTGAAGAAGGGACAGATCACCAGGACTTCTCTGACTCCTCAGCTACATGCCCTTATGTGTGGGAATCAAGCCCTGCTCCTTCTTCCTCTCTGGGTTCCTCCAGGAGGAGCTGACTCTTCTGGTCCTGCTCACCAACTCTGCTTCTCCACCCCGAGTGACCAGAGTCGGCAGGCCCCTCAGGTGCATGGCCAGACACTGATAGGCTGCAGGGCAATATTTGACTGACTGACTGGTCAGGCAGGAGACGCGGCCTATTCAATGCTGTGTAACTGGCAGATGTGGGGGCCCTCTCCACCAGGACTCATGCATGATGTTCCACAGAGTGCGTCTAAAGTGTGATGTCACTGGGAAGAGTTGGTCTTGATGCTTTTGCCCAAGGCAGCTGCACAATGGAGTTGCAGCCGCCAGAAGAGCCCCTCTCCCTTCCTGGGCAGCTGAGCCGTGTGTGGCACAAGGGAGCAGGTGTAGTTGGCCTGGGAAGTTACCATGCTGTCCCTCCCACCCCAGGGGACAAGCGTTCTTAGCAGCTGTCTGATCCTCTTGTCAGAAGTAATCTTCTGCTTTGGTGGCCCGTGCCTGGGAGGTGCTGGGTGGGTGTGGAACAGGTACAGGGCATGAATGAGAGGCAGCAGYGGGGCGCTTTCCTGCCCTGACTATCATCCCACCACTCCACGCCCATCATCTCAGGAAAGGGCAATGCCATGCCATGTGTGTGAGGCACAAGACTGGTGTTATGCGAGTCGGTCAGGGGACTCTGGACACCTGCTGACCTGAGCAGCACCTGTACCTGGGCACATACTCCCAGGCTGTTTCCATAGCTGTCATCTCCAGTAGCAGTGCCAAACAGAGGGACCCAGTCAGCCTCTGGAGAACACAGCAGGGGAAGCTCAGGGCAAAGTGCACAGCTGGGAGGGTGGGGTGGGAAGGGACTGGGGGTTACAGCCTTGGGAACAGGTAGTGTCAGACGATTATGTGTACAGGTTAATCAAATATTGGCTCCTTCTCTGCCTCTGGAATCAGTGTCACCTGTCCTCTGCAGGTGCAGTAGCTGTGGTTGGAGCCTGACTGGCAGGGAGACTGATGTCCCCCACAAGAACTTCTGTCTCCCACCGCAGCACTCCTCAAACTGAGAGGTCATGCAGGCTCAGGCCACAACTGACGAGTCACTAACAAATAACCAGGAGTGGCTTTGGACTTGGGGTTGGGATCTTCTGAGGCAAAGGAGAGAGATCACAGCCTACCCTGAGGTGGCTAAGAGTGGGGGACCAGGATGTTAGCCCCCTTTCCTGCTCATTGAACCCCTACCTTTCCATTTTCTACTTTTCAGCCATTGACGGACAGACGGCCAGCCCAGTGGCAGGTGGTGTGTATACTGTGACACTGCACAGCTTTCTGACAATGGGACACCCCCAYTCCACCCCAGATGTGAAATGGTTCCCTCCACCTTTAGGTCAGAGGTCTGGGTGCCAGTAGGAGGCTGGTCCTCTGTGTCAAATCCCCTTCTTGGCATGCCCCTGGGACTTGAAAAGGTACACACTGACTTCCCCCAGCAAGGACAGAGCTCTCCCTCCAGATGCACACACGAAGCCCACGCCTTCGTGATTTTCTCCAAAGAAATAAGGCCAGGGGGCTGGGGCTGGGGCTCAGTGGTAGAGTGCTTGTCTAGCATGTGTAAGGCACTGGGTTTGATTCTCAGCACCACATAAAAATAAAATAAAGGTCCACTGACAACTAAACAAACAATAACAAAAAATTAACCTTACTTAAAAAAGAAAGAAAGAAAGAAAGAAAGAAGGCCAAGAAGTCAGACTCTCTCTGCTCAGTCCCTGCTGTCCCTTGATAAATTAGTGGTAAGAGATGGGGGACAGGATTCCCTGGACCAGGTCTCAGGAAATACTCTGCTCCCAAAACCCACTCAGATCACACCTCCCCCTGCCCACCCAGCCCTGCCTCCCTGCTCCTCAGCGGCCTCTACCACCTGAGAAGTCAGTTCTGAGGATACACGCTCAGGCTGGCAGGGTGGGCTGGCACACCTTCCCCATTCCACGGTACTGTGCCAGGTGGCAGTGAGTACATCTGGGCCTGCCTTCCTGAGGCTCCAAAGTACCTCAGGTCTGATTCACATTTATCCTGGAAGGGACAACTGGCTGGGCCCACCCCAGGTCTTTCCTCACTGGAGTTTGACCCATGGGGCTGTCCTTCTCTTGCTTGCCCAAGCTTCATTAGCAAGCTAGCTCTCCGGGAGGCAGGGAGGCAAAGCGTGGGGTGAAGGGAGAGCGAGGAGGGAAAGAGGCCGGCTGGGAGGTGGGCTGGGAGCAGCCGGCCTGGTGGGGAATGCCTGCCATTCCTCATCTGTGCCCACGCAGCCGGGATCTTCCACCCACCAGGAAAGGGAAATTGAAAGCATCCCTGTCCGACATGTGAACGGGCCAGGGACCGGGGATTAGAGGCTGAGCCCCCTGGGGGGCAGGCTGGGGGCGGCAGGGTGGCCATGTGGCCATGATCTTCATCAGAGGACAGGAAAGCTGCAGTTTCCTGTTTCCGGTCCTGGGGTCCCTGGGAGCTTCTCTCCTGGCAGAGGAAGCAAGTGGGGAGGAGGCAGCAGGCTGTGGTGGTTTCTGTGGTCAGGGGAGATCGCATGTTGGCTGTGGGCTGCAGGGAGCAGCCAGCTTGGGCAGCCAGGCAGGCCGGAGGGCTCATGAAAGGGTCAGAGGATCCGCTGCGGAGATGGTGGCCGCCCCCTCTGCCACGCCCCCACCTTCCTGGCAGGTGGTGGGCTGTGCTTGTGGTGGGAAGCAGCCGGGGTTTCTCTCTGTTTGGCTGCAGGATCTGATTTCAAGGCCGCCTCGTTGGTTGTGAAACAGAGACAGGAGTCAACCCCCTGCTCTCTGAGCTGGTGTCCCTGCTGGGCTGTGCCAGCCTGTGGCTACCTCTGGGACCCTGCAGCTCTCCACACGGAGAAGTCCTCTTGTGGGCAAGGTCTGTTCTGTGTTCCTTTCACCCAGCTCTGAACCTTTGACCTGTAGATCAGGCCTCAGAGTCACAAGCACTCAGGCTCATCCTACACCCAGCTCCCCATGTGACCCTGAGACAGGGGGTGAGTATGACTGGGAGGCAGTGGGTGGTGAAGCCTACTCTAGGGAGGCTGGGTGGCAGGGCAGGAGGCAGGAGGAGAAATCCCTTCGTGCACCAGCTCGGCCTAGCTTCCCACTGCAGGCCTGGTTAGGAAGAAGTGCTTGAGGGGTTAGAGGTGTTTTTCCTAACCCCACCCCTTGGACTTGTACAGCGAAGGAATAGATCAACACCCCCCAACACAAGGGACTGGAGGATCAAAAACTGTTCTCTTCATCTCCCTCTGGGCCCTGATCCAGGCCTAATGATAATTAAGCAGGGCCTCATTACCCAGGGCCTGGCAAAGCAGCTGCCAGGGACCACCACAGACGAGGTAATAAAGTACAGCTGCTGGGCTGGAGCACAAGCCTTTCTAGGTCAAAGCCGAGTGGGAGAGGCCAGGAGAGGAAGGACTTGGGAGCTTCAAGGCTTCAGTCTGCTCCTCCCTCCAGGGCTCAGGGAACAGGCCTGTCTGATCACTGACCAAGGCCTGCCAGACAAAGATGAGTCTTGCGGAAGAATTCCTGGTCCTCACAGGTCACGAGCTAGAGGGATCTCTCCAGGCAGGACCCCACTGCTGCACCCTTCCCCATGTGTGGCCACCCCCACATTTCCAAAGCTGAGGGCTGCAGGCAGCTGCACTCCCACCCGGTCTGAGATGAAAGGCCTTGCTCATGTCCGCTGAGGGCTGGCCAGGATCTCTGCTGGCCGAATCCAGCCAGCCCTGGCCCCACGGGTCCCAACCGGGAGCAAAGGGGAAAAGGGCCAAATGACCAACCGACCACCGGAGCAGTGTCTGGCGCCATGAGGGGACCAGCAGTTCCCGGCTACCTCAGAGCATGTCTGGCACTGACAGTGCTCTGGAGCTGCTGGGAGTCTGCACCCAGAGAGACACAGATCCCATGGCTGGAGCCCCTTTGAGCCTATCTGTCCCTATGGGGGTCTGGGTACAGGCTGCTAGATAGGCTCCTTAGTCCCCAAGTGGCCAGTTAACCTGCCTTTCCCTTAAGTGCCCTGAGTCCTGTGTCCCCAGATGACATTACTCACTTTTTCAAGGGTTCAATCACAGTCTTTTGGATCTGGTTCACCTGTCAAAGAAAAACCCAATGGCATCAAAACTGGGTGACAGACTCTCCCTCTCCTAAAAGGGGAGGTTGCAAGTTCCTTGGAAGGCAGAGATCTGTCAGGCCCTTAAAAGCAAGGACAGAAAGGGGATGCAGAAGGAGAGGCAAGGTGGCACCCCTTAACTTCGTAGCTTGAAGAGGCAGAGAGATCAATCAGGAGGCCCAAGGGCCAGGTCAAGTTCATCCTGTTAATGCTGCTGCTAAGGCTCAGACATTGCTCAGTGTGGAAATCTAGGTGGGGGCTCGAGAGAGCTTCAGGGGCCCTGCGTGAGCAGACCTGCCATGCGTATGTACCCTCATGGCCTCACAGTAAGAGGTACACCTCCCAGGAGCCATGGGAAGAGGATGCAGCCCAATCAGGGAAGTAGACGGGCTTGTAATATAAGGACTCCAAGGACTGAATGGCCCAGATGGAGAGGCAGGGGGGAGGTGCTAGTGCTTGGTCACTAGAGACAAAGACCGAGTCACCTTTTCTTGGTTGAAGGCATCCATCCGCTTCATGGCTGTGTCCAAGGCTGTGACCATGTTCAAAAAGTCTTGATCTTGCTCACAGAGGGGATTGGAAAGTAAGTCCAGGGATATCTTCACAGCAGATTTCGACATGGCTGTAAGAAGTCAAAAAGTGGTGAACCTTTGAAGGAACAGGTTCAAGGTCTCCTCAGTGCTTCCTGCTTTCCCATGGCCCAGGGACCTGCAGCCCTCTTCCCATGCCACAGCTATTAAAACTACATGGCACCACAGAGCCATGTGGCCCTGAGGATTGAACCCAGGGCCTCATGCATGCAAGGCAAGTGCTCTACTACTGAGCTACATCCCAGCCTCTTTTATTTTACTTCAAGACAGGGTCTAGCTAAATTGCCAAGTCTGGCTTCAAACTTGGGATCCTCCTGCCTCAGTCTCCCCAGTAGCTGGGATTATAGGTATGCACTACTGTGCCTGGTTATCCTCAGTGTTTAGTGCTTATTTCTGACTATCTAGCACCACATCAAGGAACACTTTCACAAAGCTTTATGGATTACAATGACTTCATTTTCTTTCTTTCTTTTTTTTTTTTTTTTAAAGAGAGAGGGAGAGAGAATTTTAATATTTCTTTTTTTTAGTATTTGGCGGACACAACATCTTTGTTTGTATGTGGTGCTGAGGATCGAACCTGGGCCGCCCCGCACGCATGCCAGGCGAGCGAGCGCGCTACCGCTTGAGCCACATCCCCAGCCCCATGACTTCATTTTCTAAACTCTAAGTTATACTAGGATCATTTGGGTGGGAATCTGTAAAATATCCATCTCTGGCTCCAGAGATTCTAATTCAGCAAACTGGGAACCAGAGAATATGTATTTTATAAACCTCTCCAGGAGGCATGGCTGTGAGGCTTTGGCCTCCCTTATGTACACAAGTAAAAGCACTCCAGTTTACACCTGGCTCAGCACGCTTTCACTGTAAAGGGCCAAAGGGTAAATATTTTAGTCTTTGTGGACTGGAGGAGGCAGCTCCGAAACCTGTTGGCTGCTGAGGTTCTTGGTCCCATAGTTGTTTTCAGGTCTCAATTATTTGCAATCAAAATTCTCCAGGGGCTGGAAGATGGACTGGAGGGTGCCTGTCCATACCAGTTTCAGAGTACATCTGGCTTCCTTAGGGGAGGAGACAAGATTTTGAAAGCATTTTCTCTCCCTCTCTCCCTTGCTTCTCTTCCTTCTTTCCCTTTCTCTTTCTCTTTCTTGTTTTGTTCAGGGATTGAACCCAGAGGTGCTTAACCAGTGAGCCACATCCCAGCTCTTTTTATTTTGAGACTGGTCTAAGTTGCTTAGGGCCTTGCTAAGTGGCTGAGTCTGGCCTCAAACTTGTGATCCTCTGCCTCAGCCTCCCAGATTGCTGGGATTACAGACTAGGCCACCACATCTGGCTGAATGCATTTTCTTACTACTTGTATGTCACTGAATTTAAGACACTATCAATTTTGTGTGTGTGTGTGTGTGTGTGTGTGTGTGTGTGTTGCTGGGAATTGAACCCAAGGCTTGTGCATGCTAGGCAAGCATCTACCACTGGCTATACCCCCAGTCCAAGACATTACCAGTTGTAAAACATACCATTGCTGCATAAACCACTAAGAAAGAAAGAAAAATGCTGCCAATGGAACCAGAACACACCATCAAGTGTTATGGTGCTTAGAAGTCAGACATGTTACAATGAACAGTGTCTTAGACTTAATGAAGGAAGTCCTTCCTTCCAGCTGATCGGTGTGACCTTCCCTCCACTCATCAGGTGCCAGGAATCCTGAGCCCAGYGCTATCCTGAGGAAGGGCCTGCTTCTCCACTGTGGGTTAGAAAGAACCTGAGCCCTGGGTAAAAGGGGTCCTACCTGGCCCAGCCCCTCTACAAGGCATCAAAGAGGCCCTGAGTAGCCAGCGGCCCATTCTGAGCACCACCTAGGCTCCCCTGGGATCTGGGAGAAGGCTGCAGTCACCTAGCAAAAGGGCCAAATGGGAGAGAAGACTGGAAACGTAAACTTTCCAGAAATGTTGAAACAACGGAGGAAGAAACACTTTAAAATCTGTGAAGTGACTTTGTAGATTAGGAACAAACATTATGCATAACTTGATTTGATTATGAAATGATCACATATGGCATAATTAAAAGATAATAAAAACCTGGATAAAGCTGGAAAATTTCTGAAAAATGTCTTCTACTAATTTTCCCCCCATATTTGATGGAAAAAAAATCCAAAAGCTGGGGGTGGGGAGACTTTCTCTCTCTGTTTCTGCTTTCCCAGTGCCCACACCTCTGACTCTCATGTGAAGTCAATGAACTGCATCTCTCAAGCCACTGGCTCAGGAGCAGAACTGGGTCTGGAATCTCCTCAGGCACACAGTCCGGTGCTCAGGTCAAGAAAGCCCTGGTCCCCTGGCCTAGCTCACATTCCTCTCTGTCTCTGCCTAGGCTCAGCAGGGCATGGCTAGCCAGCACAGCCTCAGAGGCTGGTGGGTTTTAAACCTCAGAGAAAGAGAGGGTCATGGGTCCCTTGAGTCTTCTGAATTGTAGGATCCAAAGATCCCTCAGAGACTGATCACTCTGAAAGTCCTACAACTTTTTTGAAAGAAAGATCATCTTTTTTAGAAAAACAACTGGGGATTTTAGATTCTATCTGGGGAGCTCAGGAGCTTCTGAAGTCAGGAAAGGTATAATTCAATTCCCCTCATTGTCAGGGTCACTGGCTCTTTCAGTGTGTCCCTGATCTGGCTGCACCAGTGTCACCTGGACATGCATCAAAGACACATCTCTGGGTCTCATTCCAACTGGATGAATCAGAGATGTGGGGGTGGGGCCTGAGCCCACCAGTGATCCTGCTGCCACCAACATGGGAGGCTCTGGGTGTGRCTGTGAGGCCGCAGCCGTGTGCCCAGTGAGGAAGAGCCTACTCTGCCCACACTCTGCTCCTCACTCAGGGGCCAGTAGCCCTCAGCTCCAGGAGCCACCCACCTAATCCTAAGTTCTCCATAGCCAGACTCCTTTTCATGGATCCTGATGTTCTACTTGGTTCAAAGCAACCCACTACGAAAACAACAAGCCTTCACTCCACTCGTGCTCTCACAGTGCAGCTGTCTGAGGAGGAGGGAGGGGAGGAAGTGGCAGGTCACAGCACCTCCCCTGCTGAAGACAGTGCAGAGCAAGAGACGAATGCCATCCAAATAATGCAGACCCTGGAACACACAGAACAGATAAACCCCCAAGTCCAACCCTTGGCTTGGAAACGTGAGGGGCCAGCAGTGAAGTGCAGCTGTGTTCAGGATGGCCCATACTGTCAGGATTAGCAATGGCCCGAGGCTCTGGGGCCCTGACCAAAGGGGCTGGCCCTCCTTGCACAGGCGGGCAGCTTTGCTGGTGGCTCCCAGCTTCTAGAAGGTAGAGAACCCTGCTGCCAGGGAAGGCATACTTCCCTCTGATCAGCTTTTTAAAGTGCCCTTTACTGGAAAGATGTATGTTTATGTAAGTAAATGGCTGAAGTCTTAGCATCTGGGAAGAAAATGAGAGAAAATCCAAATTTTTGCCTGTGCTAGGGACCTTCCATTGCACATTAAGTAGGACTGGGTCTTCTGATGCCACCCTGAGCTGCTCAGTACCTTGTGCATTCTGGATGGCCTCTGGAGACCTTGATGCTGCCCATCTGGACTTGGCTCATGAGGCACCCATGCCAACACAGATGGGCTAAGGTTCTAGAGTGAAAATCTGCCATTTCTACTAAGAGGGGGGCAGAGGAACAAGTGAGATGGTGACAGAGGACAAGCAAGAAAGGGGTAGGCTTTTCTGTCCTGAGACAAGGGACTGAACTAAACGGTTTATTCTCTCATAAAATGGACATCTCACATTCCCTGTCAATCTCAAGTTTAGAAGAGATAATGAGGGTAAAAGTTCTAGGAGAACTGTTTCAGGGCTTCACCGCCATCACGGAGCATTTGTTTGTGGGTGGAATGGCCAAGTACGGGAGATGGATCCTCACTTCCACCGCGGCCTCACCTGAGCACACAGCCTCTGAAGAAAAGCCTGCTCTACTCAGGGCCTTGGCACTTGCTGACTTCTGCGTTCAAAGCACTGTCTCCTCAGATATTCTTGATGGATGATTCCCTTGTCCCCAGGGAGGCCTCCTGCACCCTGTCATGCTCCTGCCCTTATTCTTCCTCATACTATCACTGTAACATGGCATTATAACATATACTCATTGACGTCGTATGTCTCCCCTCCTTGGACGGGAAGTTCCTGTTGAATCCCTAGCTCTGAGGCACAGGTCCAGCATTTATAAAGTGAGAGAAGGTGGCAAAACCTGGTCAAACCTAAGTCTCCCTCAAATCCTACTCTAAAGTGACATTCACACATGCTGACCCTCTCTGAGAGGCCACCACATGCTAGTGCTGCTCTCAGTGCTTTTTACTAAGAGCAACTGAACCAACTGATTCACCGTCACATCAGCCAGAGGGATCAGCACCTCGAGCACCTGTGCTTTCTGGACCAGGGAACTGAGGCACAATGAGTTAGCCTGTGGTCCAAAGTGACCGGCAGAGCAGGAATTAGTGGCTAACTATTGGTCAAGTGCGGGGTGTCCTGGGGTGGAGACAGTAAGGGAGCACTGCTCCACTGCTCCAGCTGCTGGCTGGCTCCCTGGGGACAAAGCCTGTGGACACAGTCTCCTGACACTGCCTAACTTGAGAGCTGTCTTTGTCTCAGAGCTCCTGGGCCTAGCTTTTCCTCAGCAAATAAGACCTCTTCAGCCAAGAAGCCTCCCCAAGGCCTTGGCCATTTCCTGGCACCTGCTGGCTCTCACTCACCACAGACCTTTCAGTGCCCTTCACAACAACAAATTTATCCTGAGGTATCTGGCCGTATACTTTAACCCAACTCTGTTTAAATGCACAACAGCTTCAGTTCCTGTTACCACAAGAAAACCAGGAACTCTTGTTTCTGTGAGCAGGGAAGGCACTGCCTGAGCTGATGGCCCAGATGCTGAGTAGTGGAGGCACCTCTGCTAGAAGTTTCTACTGGCCAGGGTTCCATCCTAACTGGAATTCCAGGAGAGCCTTGTACTCATACCACTGCCACAGTAGGGCAGGAGAAAGTGGTGCTCTGACCTCAGGGCACTTCTCAGGGACACTATTTTGACATTCTCTGAATGTGGTGACTTACAAGTCATCCCCCTGAGGGAGCAGGACACCCCCAACCCTACCAGCCACACCAGGCGTGGGCAGGGCACCTACCCAGGTCAGCATCGGTGCTCTTCTTCATGTCCTTCTGCAGTCTCTTGGTCTGCTCCTCCAGCCTGCAAGGCAGGGGCAGGCCTGGGTGCTGGGCCACACGGCACTCAGGCTCCTCCGCCCCTGACCTGAGAAGGCCCACCAGGGAGGGAAGGACCTCTCCATGGGGCTCTTACCCCAAACTGCATGTTCTGCAGGAGGCCAAGTCCCCAAAGGCTACTGGTAATGACTCTTCTAAAGCCATCTGCTGGGGGAGAACTGGCAGCCTGGTGACCTGAACTGGCCTCAGCTTCCAGGTGCTGATAGGGCTAATGAGTGGCCCATTGACTGGTCAGAAGGAGACAGGTAGGGTGGGGAGGGAGACCTGGCAGGAGGTATTGCCCTTCCCCAACACCTGCCTCATCCCGGGGTTTGACACTCACTGCTGGAGTTTTCCATACTCCCTTTCAAAGTCTCTCTCCACCTGTAACAAAAGAGATAACTCGATCAACAGAGAAATGACAACACAATGGAAAACATCTCCCAGCCTGAGATGCTCCACACCCTCCCCGTCTGCAGAAAACAACGTAGTCCAGTCCATGCAAGCTCCAGCAGATCCTCAAGGACACAGTATCCCCTGTGTTCCCAAAATTAATGAAGTGTTTGACTTGGGAGAAGGCCTCTCCTCCCAAAGGGGCCAGCCAGGCAAGTCACAGCGGATTGTGGCTCGGCTCTGCTCTGCCACCACGGGGAGTGAGGTGCCAGGCTGGGTGCCCTCTCTTCGCCCCCACTCTGGTGGCAGTCAAAGTGCTCTGGAGTATGACTGAAGTGCACCCAGGAAGGCAGTAGGGCATGGAGAAGAGGCCGGCTGCAATTCAGGACTGGCCCTGCCTCGCGGCAGCCAGGAGGCTTTGTAGGACACCACCCGCTCAGCCTTGGTTTCCCCTCCAGTCCTCCTGCCGGCAGCTAGGTCTGCGGCAGGCCAGGAAAGTCCACGTATGTGACTTCAGGTGGCAAATTTGTTCTGGGAACAGGGAAGGGGCTCTGTCTTCAGTTTAGAGGATAAGCAGAGACAGATAAGATATGAGCTCTGACTAGCTGTGGAGCTTAAAAATATTTCCTCACACTCCAGAGCCTCACTTTCTTTTCTGGTAAAAGGGTAACTAACTTCAGTTAGTCAGTCAGGTGAACCTGAGGGGCTTACACTGCTTAAACAGGCAGTATGTGCAGGGCACAAGCCAGGTGGCTGGCCCACCATGGTGCTCACTGAGGGTGATGGTCCAGAGTGTCCGTGAGCCTCTCCTGCACTGAGTGATGGAAGTAGCCTGGGGAGGCAGACTGGGCTGTCGTCTTTCCAGCAGAAAGGAGAAGCAGCCCAAAGTGCACAGGCAATGGCAGCCAGGTAAACTCTGATGGTGGCTAAGCATGAAGCACTGTGCTGGGCACTAGGACAGTGTGTGGCTCCTGCTCAACCTCTGAGGACATGTCTTTACAAGTTCAAAGTAGTTTTTCCAAAGGGATGAAATGAAAACTAAGCATTTCTTAGTCAGTCAAGCTTTCCCTGAGATCTACAGCACAGAGTAGGTGCTTGCTCTCTGGGAGGAGCCCCTGTGCTGTGCTTTTGGCTCCCAGTCCTCTCTTTTGCAATCCCAAGAGTGCTGATGTGTGTGGGATGTCAGAGAACACCTGGTTTCCCTGCCTGGGGACTGCTTGAACTTGCAGAGAGAGGGACCTTGGGTTTCCAACTAGGTGGGATTATTCAGGTTTGACGAGAAACTTGAGGTCTCACGCTGGGAGCTGAATGAGGGTGAATGAAGTGGGACATGACCCTTCTACCTGATGCCACTCAAGGCCACCTGAAGTCTAAAAGGAGAAGTCTAAACATTCTGCTTCCCTACTTTCAGGAGGCAGGTGCAGGCTGCTTCTGTAGCTCACTGGCTCCAGATCTATTCACAGAGGAAAGACCCACCAGGGACAGCACCAAAATCCCAGCTCCTTAGACAATGGCTAAGAGAATAAAAGGACACATTGGAGCCACATTCCAAGGTATATGCTTTCTGAGAGAACGAGCCAAGCAGAAAAGATCTGAACATCTTTGAATGCTTGATGCCTTTGCCAAAACGGCCACTGGAGCCCAGTCAACAATGCAAGTGTAAACACATGTGCACGGACCTTCAGGGGACCAGTCAGGCTGGGCCTGGCAGGCCAGGTTAGTGCAGGGAGAATCAAGCCCCAGACAACTGCCCTCGGCTGCTCCCTGCATTCTCTGGGGCTCGGGTGCAAGGGAGGGGCTGTGCTGCTTGCTRTTGTATCTGCTGGTCTAGGCCAAGCCCTGGTGTAGCAGGACCTAGGAATGTGTTAAATGAATGAAAGGGCTGTTTTCCCAAAACTTGAACTCACAAGTGAAATGAAAAAGGAGGACAGGAGGCAGGGCCAGGGCTTCAGGGCCAGAGCTAAGGTGTGTCACATCAGAGCTGAGGCATAGGGGGCACTCTGAGAGCCCCTTTTCAAGGGATGCTCTCGGGGGACAGCTGCCTTCTCTTCAGTACACTCCAAGATGAAGGAGGGTGAGGGAAGCGAAGGTTCCTCTGCTCAGCACGAAATCTTCCTCAATTGGAAAGGCTTAATGTGGTTACTCCTTCTTGCCCTAACTTTGCGGGGCACCTCCCTAGCTGGGGATCTTGGTGTGTGCTTTCCTTTGCACATAAGACTGGGGTAATCCTGTTGCACAGGACCATAGAAAGGAAAGCTTTGAAGAGCTGCTCCCTGCTCCTGGGTTAGGTGGGGAGGTGTGGCTTTTCTCCACATCAGGATGCCCCAGTCAATTTATGGGCCCTGAGGGGCCAGAGGGAACTAGGCAGAAGGCTGGCATGGGGAGGTAGGGGAGCTTTGTTCCTCCGCCTCGGTGCCAATGGTCAGCCCCTGCAGAGAACACGCCATTCCAGCCAAAGCTTCGACAATGGTGGAATGTGCATTAATAACCTGGGCAAAGGAGAGCAGCAGAGCAAAGACACAATGCTTTCTTTGTGGTTGACAATTGAGTGCCCTGAGCCAAAAACCTCCTGAAACTCCCTGAAGATAACATGAGCATTTCTTCCCATGACAGGGGTGCCATGACTTCCAATAACCCGGGCGGCCACATCTGCTCCCCTCCCTGAGAGTGCCTGGGCAAGAATACCAGAGTGCGTCACTGCCATCYGGGGGCAGCTGCCAGAGATGCTGAGACAACCACACAGACTAGGCTCGCTCTGGGGGCTGGAGGAGGTAGGGAAAACGCGACTCTGAAGAGGCAGGGTCTTACTACGTATACTTCAGTGCCCTGGGGAGTTGAGGAGAACGGGCCAAGCAAGCAAGCAAACAACTCTATTCCAGACCCCAACTCGGCTTTGACTCCTTGTGAGAGATCAAAGGCCCATCCCATGGCCCGGGGAACTGAGCTGCGTGGACAGGCTAAGTCCTCGATGGCTTATGAAGGAGTCAAATCTGCTGGCTTTCTGTAGTGCATTGCACTGAAGGCTGGCTACGGGCCAGACACTGGGCTAAGTGCCTTGCATCTTGCATGCACTGCCTTATGTCAGACTGAGATGCCAGCCATGCCATCTTCATCTCACACATGAGAACGCTAAAGCTTGGAGAGGCCAAGGAACAYGCTCAAGATCAGACACCATGTGACAGAACCAGGATGGAAACTGAGGCTGCAAATCAAACATGGCTTCTTCCCACTCCCTGGTCTACGTGGGTGAGCTGAGGCTGTGAACCAGAGGACAATCCCACCTCAAGTGAGTTGGACGCAAGGGAAGAGGGAAGCCACATGCATCTGTTTTCCCCTGGGTCCTTGCTACCTCTCAAGGCAAAGGACTTAAGATTGTTCTGTCTACAAACTCTGGCAAACAAGTTGAAAGTATGTTCTAGCCTTTGGTTTTTTTGGGGAGAACAAAGGCCATTTCGATGAAGGTTAGGGTGTTGGGAGGGTTTTTTGTTTGTCTCTTTATTTTTGGTAGTGAGGATAGGAATGAAAGACCCTTCTCAAAACCACTTCCCTTTAGGATCTGCCATGGATTAAACTCTAGAGGCTCAAAGCCGCACCTTCCCACTTCCTGTAGCTGGCTGGAGCCGGCATTTGCACGCCCAGATTCTTTGGGCTTCAGCTGGAGGCCTCCACAGATGGTCAGCCCCTGCACGGGAGGCAGTGGAGCCTCTCAGTGACCTGCATCTGCATGAAGCAGAGGAGGACTCTTTTAGCTCAGACCTAGCTCCTTTCAAGTGACTTCACTTCGAATTTCCCAAAGATGGTGCCATTGGTCAGATGTGTGCTGAACTTCCTACCAAAGTAAAGCAGTAGTTTGCCTGTGGTCCTGACAGCTGAGCTGAGGAAGGAGAGTCAGTAAGACATGGAGGCCTATCAAGGGATGGGACAATGGATAAGAGTCTACTGAGTAGACAGAGTAGAAATTTCAGAAGTTATTGAGAGGGGCTCTACAGTTAACAACCAGGTTAAAACCAAGGACCACACTCCAATTGGTGGAAGAGGGGCTGAAAAGGCTACTCCAGACTAGAATTCCCAAACCTCAAAGGTCTTCACAGTGAGAAGCAGCACAAAGCAAGGGAAGGAGTACTCGAACCTGAGTCCTAACTCCAGTTCTGCCAGTCTGGCCTTTTCACACTTTAGCAGTCACCACCACTCATCAGGAAAAATCAGGAGGTTGACCAGATGAGTTCTGTGGGCTTCCAGCTAGAACTCAGGTTCTGTGAACTGAGGTTCTCCTCTCCCATTCTGGAGATAAAATAGGGCTAAATCCTGTGGGCTCACAGCAGGTAGCAGCCAGTCATCCCCTCTCACTGGTGATTCTGGATCATGGGAGAGGACACATTTGATAGGGCAGACAAAGGGACGAGGGGCAAGAAGTTACCTGGTCTTTAGTGGAGGAGATAGCTAAAAATAAAGTCTGGGCTTTATCTTAGGTAGGGAGTCTGTGTTCCAGGATCCTCTTAGGAAAGACTACTCAGAAGCAGAGCCTTTGCCATACCTTTGTAAACCACCAAGAATGGGGAAGATCCCCAATACCCCGGAACAGGAGGCCCCTGCAAGTCCCAGTCTTTAAGAGGTTCTAGATCAACATAACTGGCAATAAGGCCTAGGTGGCTATCTTCTCAGCTCAAGATGTGCCGAGTCAAAGCTTTGGTTCTATGCAGAGGCCATGTAAGATAGAACTGAGTCTCAGAGGGAAAGATGAGGTTACTCACTGTTTTGGGTACAATCTGTTTCTTGGGCTGCCCAATCTTGAAAGGAATCCTGGAAGAGACAGAGAGACGAGGATACCTGAGAAATGGGGAAGAATGTGGTTGAAAGAATGGATGCACCATTGGTGCTTCTGCCCCAAGAGGGTAAGGAGTGGCTGAAACTCACTATCTGGCACTGGTACCCCAAGCCCCGGAGGGCACAGGACCATCATAACCAGGGCCTTGTTCTAGAAAACAGATCCTCCTATCCAGTGTCCCTTGCAGGCAAGCTCTTAGGCACCACCTCCTTCTCCAGCACATGTCTTATGAACGGTCTGTCATTTAAATACACAGCCAAGTGTGTGTGTGTGTGTGTGTGTGTGTGTGTGTGTATATATAAAGCAGGAAAGGGACACAGCCCCAGATAACAATCACTACAAACCTTGTGTCCTGAGGAGCTACAAATCAGAAATCAGAGGCTCACTGTAACAGCTGTCATTCTTGGAGACATGGCTTTTAAAATTCCCCACAAAAATCACTATCATCTATACTAGGTGCTTCACTGCTTCTCTACAGGGGGACAAACTGTGGGTCTGCAGGCTTCTTGGGAAGCTGAGGAAAAATGACAAATTACATGGCCATTAATGACTGGTTGGGCCGGGTTAATCCCCTGGGAAAATGGACAAAATCTAAATGCAGCTAACTTGGAGAAACTGGGATCCAGCCTGAGTCTTCCCAAAACTTGCTAAGAAGCTCTGCACCTCAGAGTACCCACTGTAACCTGGAAGAAGCCTGGCCTAAGGGAAGGAAGGTCACGGGGGTTGGGCTTGAGTCGAGCAACTACCTGGTCCACCTCCCTAAGCAGGCTGTCATTTGGCAGCTAACTGCTACACTGAGACTTACTTTCCTCCTCTGTAAAATGAGTGAAGCAAACTAGAAAATTTAGAAGTTTCCTCCAGATACTGAAAATTCTGATTCTATTGAGCCCAAGAAGAGAATTATGGCCAAGTTGGAAAGCCAACACAGTACAACCCAGTTGTGACAGGAACAGAATGCCACTGCCTCACCTAGTGGCAGGTAGGAAGTGAGGGAATCCCTGGGAGCAGCTGGAAGGGGCCAAAGCTGGCTTCTCCCACGGCTCTCCTAGAAGCTGTGGGGTACAGGTAGAGGCTCTGCATCCGAACCTTCCATTCCATTGGCCCCATCCTACCTTCCACTCACGCCCCCTTGTCCCAGAGCCTGCTTGCATTTAGCCCAAACTGACCAACACTGCTGTTACACCCAACGGTATAATTAACTACCGATAATAACCCCAGACAACAAGCCAGTTGAGGGGATGGGCAGCCTGAGTCACAGAGGTTTAAATTTAATTTCTGGAGGACATCCTGTTTATTGTTAACCCAGCCCCATAATTTGGGAGTGTTAACCCTTTGGGGGCTGACTGGTTCACGTGGCTTCTGTAAACTAATCATCTCAGGCTATGCAATTACCAGAAAGGAAAGGTAAACTATGGAAGCTAGGGAAGAAAAATTGAAATTGCTGTTTCCCTTTCTCGAATCCAAAGAAAAAAGGTTCAAGGTAAGATGAGTCCTCTCTGCAGGCCCCTGGTGGAGACTGGAGTTGATGGATGCTGAACAGCTGTCCTCAAGGGCCATTTTGGAGACAGTGCAAATGAGGTCCTGGTGGCCTTATAAAAAGATGGCTCCTGTTCTGTGGGAGGCCTGCTGCAATGTACAGAGTTCTAACCAGGAGGCAGAAAACCTGGTCTCTGCCTTACTAGCTTTGTGATTTGAACAAATCACAATCACTCTGGAGTCATTTCTTCAACTATGAAACAAAGGAGTTGCAATAGCTGGTCTGTTCCACATATCTAGACAGAATCTCATTCTAGAATGTGGGGAGTGGGATGAGAATCCTGAAGAATCCTTGGAGTCTACACTACCTGCAGACCAGGAACCAAGAAAGTCAGAACTTAGTTTCCATTATTTGTAGTGCCACAGCTTCTCTCTAAATCTTAATTTAGAATCACAGTATTTTTAGAACTGCAAGTCACCATAGGATTTTTTTTTTTTTTTCTGTTCAACCCTCTCATTTTGTAGACAAGGAAGCAGATCCAGAGAAGTTCAATGACTATCCTAGGGTCATTGTGCTGGTTTATAAGAAAACCAGGAAGAAAACCACCAGGGACCCTGACTTCTGGCCATTTTCTCTCTGCCACTCACAGTTCTATACTCTTTTCACATGGATTTCTTAGATGTATTTGATCAAAATGCTTAGTCTTAAAGTACCATGGGATCAGAAGGGGCTCATGGTTCTTTAAGAGACTGGAAATGAAAGAGAAGAGTACTGTTTGGAACTGGGGCTTTGCACAAAGAGGTGACATATACCACACAGACTGAGCTGGCTGCTCCTTATATTTCCACTGCAGCTCTGACAATCACATATAATTTTATCAGGCTAGTCTGATTATTTCTCACCTCATAGCCCAAAAGCCATCTATCTGGCAGAACACCTTTATTTTTTAAAAGAAAAATAAACGTAGAAATTTTATATTCAGAAAATTTGTAAAGAAAGTATAATTCCCACCCCTCCCCTCAGTTTCCTCACTTTAACTAGGAGCTGCTCCAGGCTCATCTTGTACATTTCCTGCTCCAGCCCTGGGGTCGGTGGAAGAACTTGCATTAGCTTTCAACAAGCGTCTGTATTATGGTCTCAACCTTCCTTTCAGCCTTCTTTCTCAATCACCCAATTCAACTACTCTGACTCAGGCACATGGCCATTTGTTAATCCTTCAGATAAAACTTTCTGTTCCAAATTGAGACTTCTTAAATTTTTTCTAGTACTGAGGACTGAACTCAGGGGTATTCTAMTGTTGAGTTATACCCCCAGTTCTTTTTAAAATTTGAGGCAGGGTCTTGCTAAGCTGCTGAGGCAGGCCTTGATCTTGTGATCCTTCTGCCTCAGGCTCCAGAGTTGCTGCAATCGAGGGTTATGTGCCACCATACCTGGTCCAGAGAGGGACATTTTTGAGTGGTCATCATCAGGATAGTTTAATTATACAGGGAAACAGGGACATGGCCACACCTCCCAAACAGAACATCTTTCCTCCTCCTGACTCACTTCACGTTATTCTCAGGTTTACAGTCTTGCTTAAATAGCCTTTTACAGTTTTATCCCTTCAAAGAATAAAACATGCTCATGAGAGAAAACTTGAGGAATATAGAAAATGAGGATGGGTGGGGGAGGAGAAGAAAAAAACCCAGTCATAATAATCTCATATCTAAAAGATGACCATGGTTAATGTTTTAGTAGTATTCATTATATTTCTTACAATTTGCAGAGAGAAAAACTGAGGCAAGTAGACTTTTCGTAAAAATAAATCAACCCCCCCCCCCTTTTTTTTAATAAAAAAAAAACAGACCTGATTGGTGTTAAAAACTTGGAAGACATGGAAAAACTGAAAGGACAAAACACAAACATAATCATCCCCACAAAGGAGAAAGTAAGCAGTAATATCCTGAATCTCAGTGTGTACCTGTATTTGTACACATATATACACGTGAATATTTAAATAACCTTTTAAAAGTAAAGGAAACAGGAGTGTTTTGCTACTGATCTAAGTTCTACTTTTACCAAAGTTACACATATGCATAGTTTAGTAAGGCAACAAAGTTTAAGTTAACACATTAGTCCCTAGGCCCCCTTAACCTTGTTTGCCTGAGACAGCCATTTCAACTCAGTTTTGTTTACTTTTGGCATTCACATTTGCATCTCTACACAGAAATGCTCATATTCCTTCCTCTTGATCACTATGGCTTTTATTATTTATTTATTTATTTATTTTTGGTACCAGGGATTGAACCCATGGTGCTTAACCACTGAACTGTATCCCCAAGCCTTTTTATATTTTATTTAGAGACAGGGTCTCACTAAGTTGCTGAGGCTAGCTTTGAACTTGTGATTCTCCTGCCTCAGCATCCTGAGCTGCTGGGATTACAGGTGTGCACCACTGAGCCTGGCTTGATCACTATGCTTTAAGCACTAGGTACTTACTGTGGAAGACAGGGTTTGACCAAACAGAAACAGTTTTGGATGCTACCTCCACTCTCTTTCCATAGTTATATCCTAACTTACAGCAACAAGTTAACAATTATGAGGATATTGTGCTGTTTTTCACACCAAGTGTGAGAGCAGTGGGTTGCTCAGGGCAGTCAAACAGGAAGCCTGCAGTGCTAGCCCATGTATACAACAACCTCCTTAGGGTTTCCCAGCCACCCTCCCATCTAAGTCACTTCTAATTCCCAACCAACAGAAATTATTGTTATTTTGAGCCATAGAGTCATGGGATCATTTGTCATGAAGCAGTACGTAACTAACAACACTGCATATTTTTTACTTTTCTTGTCTATGGACTTATCCCTGATTCAATCTGTTGTCTGACTCCACTCCTGGTATATTTATTCTTTTCAGTTGCTCCCATGGTCATCTTGAAGCTTCTCCACTGGAGCCTCAGCCCTGCCCATCAGGACTGTCTGCAGGACTGGCTGCCCTTGGTCCCTGCTGTGTAGCTCTCATGCCTGGCTGTCCCTTCATGACGATCCTTACTGGGATGCCTTTGACCTTTTTCTCATTAGCCCATCTCCCATCTTCTCTTTCTTGATTTAATCCTCATTTTGGTGGAAAAAAAAAAGGGTATGAAAGATAATTTTTTTTCAGACTTTGCATAAAATTCTTTTTTTCTCTCATCAGGATAGTTTGGGTATAGAATTATAAGCTGGACATAATTTCTTTTAGGATTTCAAAGGCACTGCTTCATAGTCTTCTGGTGCTGTTGTGAAATCTGAAGCCACTCTGATTTCTGTCCTTTGTGTGTGGCCTATTTTTTATTTTCTTTATATGAGTTTATAGGATTGTGTTCGTCCTGAAGTTGTATAATCTTATAATGATGTATCTGTTTTATCCATTGTACTAAGTAGGAGAGTTATAATTTTGCAATTTATAATCTTTAGTTCTAGGATTAAAAAAAATTATTGCTGGGCAGAATGGTGCACACCTGTAATCCCAGCAACTTGG